GGCAACCTGGAGACAGACATCCATGCCACCCTTTTGCCAGAAACAATTACATGTTCTTTTTGGAATCTTGGGTGTCCTAGTAACACAGTGGAGCCTGGGGATAAATTTTTGCATAATACTGGGAGTCCTGCATTTATGGATAATGAACAGGAGAACCCAGGAAATAATTTCCTCTCCCCACCCCCACCAAGAATGAGAGACCCCATGGGAAGAATGCTTTCTGATTGCCTGCAGGAAGACTCATTGCTGCAAACCTGCCCATGCCAGTCCTGGAAGGAGCACTGGGCTCTACAGAAGCAGGCTTCCCAGCTATTTGTCTTCTACTAGACAAATGGTAAGACACAGTCCCCTGGGAATTTATCTTTTCCTGTTTCATGGTTTTGCTACTTTCTCCATTTCTTTCCAGATACAGCCTTTGAGCCCACCCAACTCTACTCCACCCCTACCTGGTTTTTGTTTTTTTTTTAACAATTGTACTTATTTATAATTATATATATTTTTAATTTTATTATTCATATGGGCATACAAGGTTTTTTTGGTTTGTTTTTGCTTTGACTGGGCAACTGCTGTATAATCCCAGCATCCCTAACCATACATATAAGGCAGTATTGTCCTCACTTTCTAAAGAGACACATATTTATTTGCTGCTGGCATTTAAACCAGCCCCTCCCCCCACCACCACCTCACACACACACACACAGAGACCTGGTGGAAAAGAGTGAGCACCGGTCTAGAGTCAAGATGTTCTTCTGCCACTTAAAATACCTCTGTGGCACTCACATGTGGCACTCACCTGCCCAATTTAAACTAGTGGCATGAGGTGAAAGAAGTGAAAAGAACCCTAGCCCCATGTTACAGAGTGAATTGTGTCCCACAAAAAATGTTAGAGATTGAATACCCAGTTCCACAGAGGTGACCATATTTGGGAATAGGTCATAGCAGATACAATTAGTTAACATGAGATCACACTGGAGCACGGTAGACCTTTAGTCCAATATGACTACTGTCCTCACATGAAGACAAAGGACACAGAGACCCAGACATATGGACAAGAACACCCTGTGAGGACGCAGTTAGAAGATGGAGGACCCATCTACAAGCCAAGGAAGGCCAAGGAATGTGGGCATCACCAGAAGCCAGAAAGAGGCAAGGATGGATTCTTCCCTGTGGGTTTCAGAGGGAGCCGATCCTGCCCCTGCTCAACAGTGACATGGAACAGTCAGGAGACCCAGTGCCAGGAACTAACAGAAGTATCTGGTTAAGTGATCTGGTGTTAGACAGAAGTGAGTCTGGCTGTTCCACTGCCTGGTGGGATGATATCAGGAAAGTTAACTAAATTCTCCATATTTTGGCAGTAAAACAGAGATAATTATGGCACCTAAATAATACAGCCTCTGTGAAGAATGAAAGGGTGATTCTGCCAGGCATGAATGTTGCTCTAGCTTTCCATTCCCCTGAGATATGGGAGTCTCTGGGCACCTTCAACCCTGTCTGTAGACGCAGAGTGATCCAGATGGAATCTGAGCAGACCAAGAGCAGCATGGCTCCTCTTCTGCCTCTCTGCACTCATCCCAGGTTTCCACAATAGCAGATTTCCCAGGAGCCCTGGTTTCTGAGGTTGCAGGTGTCTGAAAGGCAGGAGGTGCTTGAGGTGTCAGGAGGCTTGTGAGGACCTCTAATCCTTCGGGGAGGCCACCTAAATTGGTAATTGCAGTTGATGGAGGCTTAATCCTAAGCATCCAGCCTGAGGAAAGGGAGTGACAGGGAGGGAAGCCGGCAAGAGCCTATGAGAGCTGAATTCTGCCTGATAATGCCTCCCTGGGCCCCTCCTGGGGTGGCCTGGGGTGGAAGAAAATCAGGATTACTCCTTGTGGCTGAATCATGGGTAGATCTGAGCCCTTTTCAGAATCACCTAACTTTCTGCAGTTTAAATTGCATCTACATTACCCAGATACATCTCCCTGAAGGCACTTGTCACAGAGCAGTGGTGCATTTCGTGGGCGTGTCTCTGTGGGTGTACACACCCCAGATGGGAATGAATGGGTTCTAATTAGTTACAATTAGTTAACATAAGGTCACATTGGTGTAGGGTAGACCTTTCATCTAATATGACTAATATCCAAGTGCCATCTTTCAGAGTCACATCCGGGGACGCAAAATCATCCTTTTCTAACATTAAACATGCTTAATCACAACAACTTATAATAGCATATCAGGACTGTAATGAAGGGAAAGCATTTTCTATGTGATATTTACAGTAATCATAATACTACAAGACTTAAAGTGTAATTTTTCACAGTGTTATATCACGAAGCCAAAAATTGTCCATGTTTTTAGTTAATTATTTGAAATGCTTCGGGAGGGGGATCAGCATCCAGAAATTAATTAATAGTTTTCTTCTGCATAATTGTCAGTGTTATCACTGGTTATTGCCACTGGCTGCCAGCTCCTTTATATCCTTGCATGGCAATCAGCAAATGTGATTAATGCTAACCACTTCCCTAATAGCCAAATGCCAATGCCATACCACATGCAGGACTATAATTATGCTTTAGGAAGTGAGTGGGTTCAGCTTCGTTAGCCCAAAATTAACCCTCAAATACAAAGGCCACTAACACTAGTATGTATAGAAAACACCAATGAAGAAGCTGGGCGCTGGTGGCTCACGCCTATAATCCTGATCTCAGGAGGCAGAGCTCAGGAGTATCACTGTTCAGAGCCAGCTCAACAAACAGTTCACAAGACCTTATCTCGAAAAAACCCATCATAAAAAGGGCTGGTGGAGTTGCTCAAGGTGTAGGCTCAAGGTGTAGTTCATACCTCGGCACCACAAAAAAAAAAAGAAAGAAAGAAAACACCCATAATACCTCATTCTTGGGGAATACCAGGACATACTTCAAGGATGGTGGTTTCTTATATACCTAACAACCTCGAAATTCTTTTTCAAAAAGATCTAAACCTTCCTTCGTGATGTTCTAAAGGCTCCCTCTTGCCTTCTCTTTGGGGATCAGCCAAATCTACTCACATTCCAGCTCTGCTTGAGTGGAATTTGAGTTCCTATTTAGGTATTTGCTGTTAACCACAGGTCTCATGCTTCACAGCCCTTTGTGACATGTGTTTATTTGAAGAGGTAAGTCGATGAAGCAGTGCTTCCTTATATTTTAAAGCACTCCCTGACTTAGGGAAATAGAGGGGGCCCTCTACTAGTACCAGTGACTTGGGGAAGGAGAAAGTGAGGAATGCTACCTGGATTACTGTCCACAACCCCCTCAGTATCAAAATGGGGTGTCAAAGCAAAGCAAAATCTGACACACTTAAAAGTTTCAAATTCCTAGCAACTTCAATTGTGAACAATGAAATAGGTGGAACATTACCAAATGCACAAATCAAAACCAAAGCCCACATTTTGCAGTCAACATGTAGAAAGCATAGACTTACCCAGGTGTCCCCTCTTGTAAGGGCCTGGGACTCCATCACCCTTGCTCCATGGGCTCCTCTCCTTCGTTCCCCTTATCCTGATTTATTCACTTAGCATCACTATTATAATTCATGATGATTATTATTTCTGATTTAATTTTGTATATTTTCTAAACTTCTTAAATCTCCTTTGGAATACAATAGGATATCAAAATGCAGTTAAATATGCTGGAACTCTAGGAGATGCCCTAAGCCCATCACTCAAAGCTTACTTATTCTCTGCTGTGTACAGTTTTAATAAACACATCTGATTTCACAACATACAGCAACGTAGAAGACCATCGCTGATAGAAAGAGTGTCTGTTGTCTCTTGAGGATCCAACACAGCACATTGAGCCTATTGAGTATATAGATGTTGTTAAATGCAATAGTGAATGAATAAATCAGTAAATAAGTAAGTGAATAAAATAGAGAGCTTTGCAAGAAGGTAGAAACTATTTTTAAACAAATTCAAGAAACAGAAATATAGCAGTAAGGACCCACATGGTATGGAAGTAATCTTTGCACATTTTGAAAGCCTTTGATGATTCTAGAACAGTAGTTAATACTGATGAGTATAGCTCTATTATGTAAGAGTATATAACATATATATTGTGTACTCTCATATAATACAGTTATAAAGTAATTACTGCTGATAAGTATAACTCTACTGTACAACTACCAACATATTCTTGGGAGTCTCTGTTCAAGAAGACAGGAATGTATATTACACACTTTAGAAAACTTCATTTGAAAATAACAAAGTTTTAAAACATAAAACTTAAGAAATGGGCAATATTCAGCTGTCTGGAAAATTCCCTTCTTTGCAATGCCTCCTTCTATGACAATGTGTGACAAATGAATGCTGATGAACTGATATTGGAAGTAACATCTCAGGAAAGGCAATGCAAGTGGAGAAGGCACACTGTTTAGAACTAGGCTCTGACTTAATCCTGATGCAATGGGGAGTGGTTCTAACTAACCCTGGGACTGTGCTGACATCCCTGAAGGAGCATTCATTGTGGGTAGAAAAGGGACAGTGAAGAGCAAGTATCCAATACTCACTCCTTTCTCCACCAAATCATTGCTCATTAAGACCTCTAGGCTCCATAACTTAAGCAACCTTATTCCCTCTCCACCTGTGTGTGTGCCAAAAATTGGTTTCTGCAACATTATAAAAAGAGAAAGAAATTCCTAGATGCATGCTCAGAAACTTCTGGACAAAGTATGCTCCAGGAATGGAATACAATACATAAATGTTGTGATTATTTAAAACTTGACTCCTGTCATGATACAAACGACAGTCCTAGACAAAGGCAGTCTCAGACCCAGGATTTCCCCAGTGCAACTCTGGCCTGTCCGTTTCCCACATCAGAGTGATGCAGCACTAGTTTCAAGAGAAACACCCACTTATTATCAGGAGCCTGTTTTCCCTGGCCAGTTAAATAGAGGGGATCACAGCCAGTGGGCTCAACCCCATACTTAACATTTTTCAATTACTGTGAGTAATCAAAGATTAACTTACTCTTTTATTTGGTTTACAGAATTACGCAAAGCTTATTCCTGGAGCGACAGTGGGACTGCTTCAGAAGGACTCTGGAAACATTCTCCAGCTTATCATCTCGGCTTATGAAGTATGGTATTTTATAAGAATTTGGCTTCTTTTTTGCATTTCAGTGGTATTCAAACACTAAGATGTAGGTAGGGAAACCCACTTTCATTTGTTGATAGAGTGCTTATCCAAAGAAAATCTCTCTGCAGGTAAAATATAAACTTTATTTATTTAATTTGAAGATCTTCTTCCTGAAAAAGCAGCAAACAGAAAAATCAAAAACCTATCCTAAATTTAGGTTGTTTTTATAATAATACCCAACAGTAGCAGTGTCCCCAGGAAATTTTAATCTGACTGAAAAGAGTCCCTGAGTCATAACTAAGTGCGCTTCTATCTTAAAAAAAAAAAAAAAGTTCAAATTGCTAGTGAGTAACAGATTTATGTAGTGAACTAACTCTGCAGGTTTAATGAGACGAGATCATAACTCAAGCAAAAATACAAGGGCTGGCTCTGTACCAAAACACCAAAAGCACACCTAGCACACCACCTCACTTTAGGTTCTCTACTTTAGGGAACCAAGGAAACCCGCATGAGTTTAATGAGTATGTATATAATTTTTTGCTTTGACTTTATGGATTAGTACTGAGTGTAGAATTCCTCCCTTAAAATAAGATGCATACCTATGCTTTTTTTCTTTGAATTAGTCCACAATGGATGGCCAGTTGCCAACTCTTTTTTTATTTTAGTTCCTAAATATTATTCTCCTTTTTTGGCCTTTCCTTACAAAATAAACTAAAAACAAAACAAAACCTCACAAAGATGTAAAGGAAACTCTAAATTAGGACAGGCATGAAAAACAGATCAATTTTTAGAAAACATTAAAGCTTTCTAAATGTTTGTTTAGAAATTTTGTTCTACACAGCATTTACACAATATTGAAGGAATAAAATTCAAAATCAATAAGTCTTCTAATTTTTAATGTTTGAAAACTTCAAATAAATGACCAGTACGTACCATACGCCAGTGCTTAGCATATCCCGACCCAGTATTCTGGGTCATACCAGAATCTTCTTAGAAGCTTTTTAAAAATAGGCATGCTCAGATTCCTTTCACAGACAACTTTGGAGACGTTCAGGGGAAGGAGGAGCTACATATTTTTATGTAACCTCTCCTATGATTTTGGCATTACTCCACCAATTTTGACTTTCACTCAAAAAGAGAAGCAAGATATTCCTTCTCAAATACTTCATTTATACCCAGAGAATAAAATACAGAGGTATTCATTAAAATTATAAGAAGATTGGAGGCTTTTCTCGCTGATAATCCTCAGAAATTTCAGTTTCCTTACCTCATATCAAAAATTAATCACCACATTAGCTCATGCTTGAAATTCTTCCAGACAGAAAAGCTTGTGGACAAAACATTATAAAACCCTTTCCCCTCTCATGCAATAATTAAAGTTTTAATGTGCAGAAGCAAATAAAATCACAAAGCAATCCCTCACAGAATAGTAACACACTTGGTTTTCTTTAACCCAATATTCTCGGAAGTGCTGGCACTAACATCTTCAAAGAAATTAGGAAACAGTGAGTTATTAGCTTGGCCAGGTGACCTGTGCCCATGCCTTACATGTCACGTAGCTTATGCTGTAGTTGAAACCAAGGTATTAACATTCGAATTGAATCTTGTGTTCTTGTTAACTGTTGCAAAAATACCAAGAAGCATCTATTGTTTTTCTACTAAACAATCTTGCTCTGAAGTTATTATTGGAACTTTATGATTTGCAGGGTGAAAGATGCAAATAGATCATGAGACTAATTTGAATTATGTTTCTATTCTATTATTCTTAAATGTACTCTAGAAAGACTTTACATATAGGAACCTATAGACTGAATTTCTTTCTCAGTCAATAAAAGAGAGGGAAGGAAAGAAAACATAGTGAGAGAAAACATAAAATGTTCCAGTAGGGTAGAGGCAGTCTGTGTTTACAATTTGTGGCTACAAACCTCAGCTGAGTATTTTATAGCACCATATTGATATAAGACATCCTAAGTACTGAATGTGTTTTCATCTGACCCTCTCTCTCTAATTTCCTTCCTTTCCTAACCGCATAATAAAAGGTACTGACATATCAGTGATCCCAAGTGTAAACTCCTCTACTGGAAATTAAACTCTGGAACAAGATCCACAGGGTTTGTTTTCTTTGTCCAGCTTATAGGAGCCACTCAAAAAAATGAATGAATGAAATGATGAAAAATTTAAATTAATATTTATATCCTTTCCTTGGGAAATTTATATTAAAATATTCCCGGTCAATTTTGTATGATACCTAATTATACTAAGGCTGAGATTTCCTTCATTTAGGCCAAATTATGTTGCTCACTAGTCCTTATTATTGCTGTCACCTTTCACCTACAGACACCTCCCTCATTTCTCATTTAGCTCTTGACTTACTCTGCAGCACAGCACCACTTCTGACTTAATTCTTGATGATTTCAGTGTAAACAAACTTTGGATGCAGGAAGGATCATCTTACTATGCAGATATAAAACTATACTTCAGGAAATTTTGAAGCTGAATTTTTATAAAATGTCAATAATAAAATAGATGTATGTCAAAACTTTAGATGAATTAAAGTATAACAATTCACAATATTTTTAAATGTTTTACTGTTTATTTTTTAGTAATTTTGTTTTGTTCCCCAAAATACAAGTCTTTATGTTGTAAGTGAATAAGGAATAGAAAAATTAAAACGATACGCTTCTGAGAGCAGAAACCCAGTCTTATCCCAGATCTGACTACATTAAGTGTACAATAGGCTTCCAACAAATTCCAATAATGACTTTAAGGCACAGTTGTCCTCCATATTTTAACACCCCTAAAACATGGATCCAGCTTGTAATTAATGGTGTCATACAACCACCAAGTGCCCGGTAGCAGTCACGACACAGTTTTTATTAACAATTATGAGTACCATAACTTCAATTCATTAAATGCATTGTTGCTACTAGAAGTGCTAAATTTAATAGCCATTGTAAAATATCTTCAAAGTGTTTGAACTATGATTTGATATTGAGATGAAAAGTTATTATGTATGCAGAAATGTACCAAAACAGAGCAGCAGGGTGTAAATTTGATACCAGTGAAGCAAATATTCGTTTTGGAGGATGGTTGCAATTCTGTATTCCTTACAAAGCAGCAGCCAGCTGCCTTATGGGACCTAAGAAATGACGACACTTACAAGTAAAGGACGCCATCATAATGTCTTGCTATAAGATATAAGAAAAGAATTACCTTTTGTATGTCAAGTCATGCAACTCAGATTTGCCAAATCCTTCTGAATGGATTAAATAGTTTTCAGAGCAATGATAGACTAATGTCTATCATGTTGTATAGAACCATCGTGAGGTATTTTGTCATAGTTTAATTGTCACATGGTAATAGCGTATGTTATAATTGATGATATCTTAGATACACTAAGATAAGAAATTACATACAGGTTGACAGCTCACCTTCTTGCTTGATTAATGTTCCAGTGAATTTCTTCTAGACCCAATTGAATTTTATTCATTTGTCATTCATGAACATAATTCAGTTTCTTCTGGCTTTTTTTTTTTTGGTTGTGACTTCATTTTACCCTTTTTATCTGAACTAAAGGAACTGAGGTCTGAGGTGGAACTGGAGGTATTAGGAGACACAGAAGGACTGAACCTGTCCTTCACAGCCATCTGTAACAACAGTACCCTCTTCCCACAGCAGAAGAAATGCTTGCACATGAAGGTGGGAGACACAGTGAGTAAATGACCAGTAGACGTCTGAAACCCTATTCAGATGAGTCACAGATTATTAGTTTAGCTCACTGAAGCTGGACTTCTTTGAAGAATTTCTTAGGTTTCCTAATAAATCAGCTTTTGGCAAAGCTGATTTCCACTCTGACTCGTTTCACCTCCTGCAGGTTGGTGGATGAGGAAGCAGACAATTAGTGTTTTCTTTTCCAGGCTTCATTCAACGTGACTGTGAGCATACCTCACTGCGAGGGAAGAAGCAGGCACATCGTCATAAAGCCCGTGGGGCTGGGGGACGCCCTGGAAATACTTGTCACTCCAGAATGTGACTGCGACTGTCAGAAAGAAGTGGAAGTGAACAGTTCCAAATGCCACAATGGGAATGGCTCCTTCCAGTGCGGGGTGTGTGCCTGCAACCCCGGCCACATGGGTCCTCACTGCGAGTGTGGCGAGGACACGCTGAGCACAGATTCCTGCAAGGAGGCTCCCGATCACCCCTCGTGTAGTGGAAGGGGTGACTGCTATTGTGGGCAATGCATCTGCCACTTGTCTCCCTATGGAAACATTTATGGACCTTACTGCCAGTGTGACAATTTCTCCTGCGTGAGACACAGAGGACTGCTGTGCGGAGGTAGGCGACAGCTAAGTCCATTCCCACTGCAACTGTTCAGGGAGCAGGCAGGGACTTTGCAGCCTTGGTACCTTCCTCTGTTTCCTGAGCCTTGTAGGTCCTGCATTAATCCATGCTGACCGTCTTAGTGGCTTCATCTTTAGACTCGGGGGTAATAGACTCTTTTGCATTTTGTTTTTCGAATTCTCACATTGCCTTGGGATGAGGTCTCTGCTGATTGAACTTCTGTTTGTATTATTATTTCCCTAACAGCAAGTAGGGAAAGGATGGAAACGCCTTCTGCAGTTACCACCCAGATTCTAGTAACTGCCTTCTACTTTAGAAAAACAAAAAGCTAGATGGGAATTGGACATTCCACTAAAGGCAAAGAAATACTAAGTGGACTTCCGAGGCCTTCACTCACTCCACACATCCTTGTTAAACCTACTGTGTGATTGACAGTAAGTTAGGCATTGGGGCTGCTTTAAAAGATAAGGAAGAACATATGTGAGGAAGCCTCTGGAAAGAATGAAAATAGAAAACTGAGAGAATTTCTGGAGAAATTTGAGAAAAGCTTAAAATACAAATATTTACGTTTTAATATTCTTTTAGATGTAAAGATCACTAGTTTAAGAACAAACTGCATATATGTCTGGTGCCGGTGGCTCATGCCTGTTATCCTAGCTACTCAGGAGGCAGAGATCAGGAGGATCACAGTTCAAAGCCAGCCCGGGTAAATAATTCCCGAACCCTATATCAAAAAACCGATCATAAAACAGGGCTGGTGGAGTCACTGAAGGTGTAGGCCTTGAGTTCAAACCCCAGTACTGCAAGAAAAAAAAAAAAGAAACAACAAAAATATTGCATTTAACATGACTATTATAAAATCATCCTATATATGTATAGCATTCTATATAATATCACAAAAGATGTTACTCTATAACTAGAAACTTTCTCTTTTTAAAGATGCAAAAGTATTTAGAATAATTACAATCAATAAAGAGTTATGCAGTATCTATTGTGTGCCTGGCACTGTGCTGAATGCAGGAATAAATGTGCCTGGCATTGTGAACAGACTCCCCGCTGCTACTGACTTGCAAAGCCAACCACGTATTCCACAGCCTCATTTTACAACTTCTAGACGTGGCTATGTGCTGCTGTCTTGAAAGGCTATTGTCGCAATGTTCTTTTTCATGCAACTTCTTTCATCCATCTGTAAGCACTCAAAGATAGAGGATTCCATCGATTTTTTTTCCGTTTCCAAGTTCCATTAGCCTCATATTTTGATTCTGACAATCTGGGAACAGTGACAGGCATTAGAGAAAACATTCCTGCCATGATACACTTACAGTTGTTTGCCAATGGCATTCCAGAAAGATCTATCCTTCTGAGAAGAGCCTGCAGATTTTTTTCTTGCTCTTTATCATCTTGCCTCTCAATACAAAGGTGCTGTAGTTGTCTAAACAGACATTTTAGATAATGATTGGTTGCTTGGTGATACTAATTAGTAATTGTGGTGACCAGGTTAAAGGGTTTAGAAGGCCAGAAGAAAGGAGGGTTTCTGAATTTTGAGTGTTCTGTGGTTTTTGCTTTGATGGTTCTTTTGTACCACTTCAGGAGGGGTTTTCTAAATTTCTGCCAAGTAATTCTTACATATAGTGTAAGAATTTCCATTTGCATTTCCAAAGCATTTGAAAATGACATTTCATTTAATCACATTTATAAAACTTTTTTTTTTAAGCTGGTCATGGTGATGCACACTTGTAAGTCCAGTGCTAGGGAGGCTGAAGCAGGAGGATTGTGTGCTCGAGGCCAGCCTGGGCTACGTAAAGTGAACTTATTTAAAACAAAACACCAATTCCAACTTTGAAACCTTTGTTCTGTGACTTTTGACAAGGCAAAGCATTAAGCCAAGGACTCTCCTACCTTCTGTCCCTTACGGCCAGTCATGACATAGAAAATTAACCAACTCATAGGCCAAAGTTTACAAGAGAAAACCCAGAATCCCTCACTCTGCAGTGCAAGGGTTTCCTACACGTAGAAGCATGCTTTGCTTGTGGTTTTTTTGTTTGTTTGTTTTACATCTACTTTGTTTTCTGTAAAGGTACAGGAATTTTAATAGTGATGAATAATTCTGCTTGTAAATTATTCCTCCTGGATGGATTTTAGAACAATGCTAATAACTAGTGCTTATATACTGCTTAGTAATGGGCCAGGCACTGTTAGGACTCTGTTACAGACTGTCTGAGGTAGTCCCACGCTTTGCTGGAAGAGCAAATTTTGGGGGGTAAAATGCCTAAATGCACATTTGTTTTTCTAGGCAGGTGCTCTTACTGCTTGAGCCACTCCAACAGCCCTCACATTTCTTTTTCTGAAGAAAAGTATCAATTATGAGAGTTTATAAATGCCTGCTTTAGTATCCCGGGCATGGCAGGCACTCCAAAATATTACGGAAAGGACACACAAGCCTGCATCTTAAACATACGCTTGTCATTTTGGGTGATTCATTCCCATGACAAGGCCAGGTCCAGAAGGGCTCTTCAGGGTTAGGCGAGAGGCTGTGTATAGCCAGTGTCCACACTTCTTCCTGTGTCTGCCCCAGGCTTCTGCCGTGTCATTCTCAGTGCCCCTACCTCTCAGTCTCTTCTATAAGGATCCCTTCCTCTGATCACTTTTTTTTTTTTTGGCAGTACTGGGGTTTGAATTGAGGGCCTCGTGCTGGCTAGGCCAGGGCTCAACCAGTTGAGCCACTCCACCAGACATTTTTGCTTTAGTTATTTTTTAGATAGTCTCGTGTTTTTGTCGGGGGCTTGTCTCAGACCACAATCTTCCTACCTATGCCTACCACAATGTAGCTGGGATTATAGCCATGAATCACTATGGTTGTTTGTTGAGATGGAGTCTCCCATTAACTTTTTGCCCAGTTGTTCTGCTGCACCTCTGGTTATCTGTCTGCCTAGTCATGGGGAAGAGTTCCTTGTCCTTTTCACTCACACTGCGTCATGCCCAGAGCATCCCACCTCAGAAGTGTTTTCTTCCCCTTCTATTCCTGCTGACATTGCCATCATCCAGTCCTCCACTCCTGCAGGACCTCCCAACTGGTTGTCCCAACTCTAGTTTGTCACTCTCTACTACTTCTAGACACAAATCTATTTGGACAGATCACTTCTCAACTTAACATGTCCTAACCTTCAGGACAAAAGTTACTTCAACCTACGAGGCCCCCTCATGATCTGTCTTGTCCCCTTTTGAGGAGGATGGGAGAAGGGGAAAGTCAACAAAATGTCCCCTCCTCCCCCTCTCCCCTTCTCCTTTTCCCTCCTCCCCTCCCCCCTCTGCACCTGTAGCACTATCAACATGAAACTGAACAGCTCACCTGATTGCACACTTCCATCATTTAACATGCCTTTTCCTCTCTCTGCAATGCACACAACCCTCTTTTCTAACTATCTTCTGTCTTTATCATCCAAATCTGGCCAAAGCATCACTTGCTCTGTAAACTTTCCCAAATCTCTGTTGACTTTGGAAACTCTCCCCCTGCGTACATAGACTTATCACAGTGTATTGTATTTAGCAATGATAGTAATAGTCACTATTTGCCTGCTTCCTACCCAGATCACAGATTCAGTGACCTTGTCTTATTTGCTTCTCTAGCCTCATACCTAACACAACCTTTGGCACAAAGCATCTGCCCAATTAAAGTCTGTCAAGTAATGAACTTGTTCAGCCCTCACTGCTTGCCCATGGGACCGCTAAATGGTGAATGTAAAACTAGGAGTTTTACACATTATCTCATCTGACCACAACCATCGGAAGTAGATTTTATTCCCTCTGTTTTACAGATGAGGTCTCATATCACTCGGCTTGGAGATTAGCTGAGGGACTGATATTAGTCCAGGTGTGTCTTGCATCTCCATTCTATGGCTTACTAATTAAAAGCAAACATTCAACAGAACAATTAAACTTCTGTGCATAGGGATACACACACACCACATAGGTACTATGGGCTGGACTAGATTACCTGTTTCATCTGGTTATTAATTCTGTTTGATATGTTGTCAACCAATCAAGTATCTCTTCAGTTACGGGACCACATCAATAAATATATACATGCGGCTAGCAAAACACATTCAATAAGATATATAAACCACCACCACCACCACCACCATCTCCCCCCACACACACACAATTTTTCTTTAGACATTTTGTTTAACAGTAAGGAGAAAAAGACTTCCCCCAAAGCTGTGAGTGGTTTGGGCCCTGAGCAGCGTGGAGTGTGTGTTTTGCAGATAACGGCGACTGTGACTGTGGCGAGTGTGTGTGCAGGGGTGGCTGGACCGGAGAGTACTGCAACTGCACCACCAGCACAGACGCGTGCGTCTCTGAGGACGGAGTGCTGTGCAGCGGGCGAGGGGATTGCGTCTGCGGCAAGTGTGTTTGCACAAACCCTGGAGCCTCAGGACCCACCTGTGAAAGATGTCCTACATGTGGTGACCCCTGTAACTCTAAACGGTAATGACTCAGCTTGCTCTAGTCCCTTTGGTGAATAGGTTTCCTTGTGATCAAAGTTCTGATGACATTTTGTAAACTCAGACCCCAGATTGTATTTGCTGGGTTTGGTCTCTAGGCATCCATCAAAACACACCAACCCATGGGACCTCTGTGATCCTCAGCCTGGAACATCAGTCTCTGTCTGTCTCTTTCTCATTTCTGATTATCCTGAATCACAATGTCACATTTCTGCTAGAGACAGCATGGGGAAGAGGAGCCATGTCCCACACTGATAACGTCAGATGGCCTCGTTTACAATTCCGGCCACACAGAAGGAATGCTCTGGAGGCACCTGCAGCCAGTGCCTTCTCAGGGGAAACAGACAGCCACCAGTTTATAGCCTGACCTTGCATCCATTCCTACAAACAAGCTGATGGAGGCAAAGAGGCAGAAAGACAATCATAGCCTTCAGTTCATCCCTCTTATCACTTTGGGGCCTTATCACAAACACCTTGACTTTTCTTATTTTCCAGTAAGAAAACTATTTCTTTGGTTAGTAGCTAACTTCTTCATGGAATCAGGGCAAAATTTGTGGGTCAAATGAAGACAGTCTCCAAGATGACTTTGTTGTGAGACAGTATTATACTGTATTATGCAGCAAAGATGCTTAAGCAGTTCATATTTTCATTTACTCTAATACCTAAAATGGTGACATTTGCATTTCTGAGTGATCAATTTTTGATTTTTTTGGGGTTTTTTTTTTGGCAATACTGGGGTTCAAACTCAGGGCCTCATGTTTGTAGGTAGGTGGTCTACCACTTGAGCCACTCCACCAGCCCCCAGAGTGATCAATTACTAACCCAGTGGTTACTTACCATTTAGGTGTCAAGACTTCTTTGTCACTGTCTCTCTCTAACTAAGACATATGCCAGAAGCACGGATCATGATTGGAATTCTTTGAATGGAATCAAATGCAAAATGTCAGGCTGGGAATGTAGTTCAGTAATAGAGCACTTGCCTAGCATGCAAAAGTCTCTGGGTTTAATTTAAAAAAAAAAAAGTAAAATAAAATATTCCTTCAAGATGTTTCGTTTAGCCAGACATGGTAGCACACAGATATAATCCCAGCTACTCAGGAGATAGAGGCAGGAGGATCTACAGAAGGCTAGCTCAGGCAAAGGTTGGAAGACCTCGTCTCAAAAATAAAATACAAACAAAAGGGCTAGGAGTATGGCTCAAGTGGTAGAGCACTTGCCTAGCACATGCAGTGCCCTGGATTCAAACCCCAGTACCTCATTACTTTTCTAGTTCGTCTCATCTGTAAACACCATTCTATCTTAAATCTGGTTGTTAAGTTATAAAATGAACAATCAAGGAGCTCAAATTTGGGAATCACATAGAGTTTCCTCAGTGTTTGTGGTAGTTTTGAAAGGGGTCCATTCTTCCATTTATTTGTGCATGTGTTTATTTGTCTAATATACCTACTGTATGCCAAGAACGTTGTTAAGCCATGAGCATGCAGTAAAGACTGAATAGTTATAGTTTTCACCTTCCCAGGTGCTGAGAGTCTAATGGGAAAGAAGGATGTTTTTAAAAGTAATTTTAAAAGAGCTATCTGGGCTGCCAGGAACCATGGGGAACAAGAGGGTGCTGCGGAACTAAAGGGTGGGAAGAGGCCACCAGCTTAGCAGAGGCAGCCACCAGTGCAATGCACAAAGGAGATTTTAAGGGCCTCCATAATTTCCACCAGGCCCTACCAAGCTACTCCAAATAAATATGTAATCCAGACCAATGCAATATCCTTGCAAAGCAAAGGGAACTTCACAACCTGGCCACTACTCCCACTCCGCCAAGCCCATCCTAGGGAGGAGAGCTTCCATTTCAAGGGACAGGTGGTTCTATGAGTTAAGGAAGACTTGCCTGAGTAGTACAGCTTCCACTGAGAGTTGTCGGTGGGAGGGCACTGAGCACTTAGCAGAGTGCATATTCCCATGGGTGGTGGAGAGACACAGGTAGCCCGATGTAGCCACACAATAAGGAAACATTTGTTATTTTGACTTACTCCAAGCATGACCTATTTGTAAAGTGATTTGCAGCACAAGATTAATTCAGGGTCTAAATTTTACTTTGTTCTCTAGCTATCTGTAAGGTAGCTTAATTTCCTTATGTCCTTGACATACATTAAAAGCACTAATTACTCTTGAATTTCTGATTGAGATATAGATCATTTTTGTTAAGAAATGCATAACTGCTCAGACTCTAATCATATTTATGAAACTAACTTCCCTAGAAAAAAGTAAAATGAAAATATAGCTAAATCAAAAACATAATTTTTTCTTAACCAATCAGTAGAAATCACTATAGAAAAATGATTACAGTAGCTATTATCAAGGCTGTTTCAGGAGACATTGATTACTGAGTGGAATTCAGAATAATTAGGTGTCATCATGGCCATCACCCAGCTATCTTTCTGAAAGTAACAAAGTCCAATGTCATTGATGAGACCCTCATACAGCCCAAACTGCAACAAGAACAGAGAAGCAATATTCCAGCTGTGTAGTCATTGTCTACCAACATGAACTGATGGACTATGTTGGATCCTGTCCACAGGAGCTGCATTGAATGCCACTTGTCTACAGATGACCATGCCCAAGAAGAGTGTGTGGACAAATGCAAACTGGCTGGAGCAACCATCAATGAAGAAGAAGGTGCTATTTCTTAAATTACCTTCATCACCTTTACGTAGTTCTTCAGAGGCAGAAACTCTGTGAATCAAGGGACTTTCAGCAGCTTGACCTTGTTTTTCCCAGGACATTAGGCTCACTCAAATTCTTACGCATTTTATAAAGCTGAAAGCTTGGTGACAGGATGCAAGCAATTTCAATCCATGGCTATTTTATTGGACTTCAGCTCTGTTGGCATGTCTACCTCTGCTTAACAAATGCAGTTGTAGAGAATTCCAGAATACTCTGTTTTCCAAACTAGGAAGGAAGAAAATTGAAGAAATGGGCTAAGTATTTACTTCTCCCAGAAGAAATGGCTGTTTTAACTTACCGCCCCCCCCCAACCTAAAATCATCCTCTATCATCTGATTGCCTTATTTCAAGGTAAGATGAAGGCAGCTGTTGCCCTAACTGCAGCTGCACAGGTTCTGGTCAGTGGCTATCTTTCCTCCCCCTCCACATCCTCACCAAATTCTTCTGCTGCCACTTTCCAATCGTGGACATTAGATCAATTAAAGGCTAAAGGGAATTAAACCCTTTGGCCTCACCACCAAATCTAAGAAGTTCTTGTAATCTCTAACTGCTAAGCAAACTGTGCTCATGCTTTCATCTGTAGTTTTAAAATTAGTTACTTAAATTGAAAGCCCTAATGGCAAATTTTCATCTCAAATATTTACATTGATTGCATTTTACCTGGGAAAGCCACTTAAAAAATTATTAGGGAATTTTAAAGCAAAGAAGATGACTGACTCTTCCTAAAAGGACAATCTAGGGGAATTTGGTTTTTTTTGTTTTTTTTTTTCTTTTAGTATTCATATGTGCATACAAGGCTTGGTTCATTTCTCCCCCCTGCCCCCACCCCCTCCCTTACCACCCACTCCGCCCCCTCCCTCTCCCCCCCCCTCAATACCCAGCAGAAACTATTTTGCCCTTATTTCTAATTTTGTTGTAGAGAGAGTATAAGCAATAATAGGAAGGAACAAGGGTTTTTGCTAGTTGAGATAAGGATAGCTATACAAGGAGTTGACTCACATTGATTTCCTGTGCGTGGGTGTTACCTTCTAGGTTAATTCTTTTTGATCTAACCTTTTCTCTAGTTCCTGTTCCCCTTTTCCTATTGGCCTCAGTTGCTTTTAAGGTATCTGCTTTAGTTTCTCTGCGTTAAGGGCAACAAATGCTAGCTAGTTTTTTAGGTGTCTTACCTATCCTCACCCCTTCCTTGTGTGCTCTCGCGGAATTTGGTTTTGCATCATCATAAACTCTGCATTTATCATACTACTCAGGTAGGTCACACATTAGAGATGTGACCAAGGCATATCTCAGGTAATGGGAAATAATCAAGACAATAATGCATGGCACTGTAGGATACATATTTTGAACAGATGGAATTAGAATATGGAAATTAATCTATTTCCAAAATGGAATAATATAATGACATTCATATTCTTCTGAAAATTACTTGTTGCAAAACTGAGAGGTCTGACTGCACAGTTGAAATGCTGGATGTGGAGGGGTATGATTAGTGCTCAGAAAACCCCTCATCTTTGCTTTTCTGATGACCAAAGATAAACATGCCAAATAGCAGTAAATGAGCAGGATGGTGTGTATTTTAGACTAACACTGAAGGTAAGACACATGAAAGCATGGAGGAAAGCAGCATTTGTGGGCTGTCCACGTGAGCAACTAGCACTGAGTTTCAACAGATCCTTCTAGGTTCATTTCACAGCAACCAGTAGGGATATTTACCAGATGTCTCTGGAAAATGAGCAAAAATTGCAGAAAATTTCCTGCAAATGACTAGAACTCAATTTGCTGGCAACATGGGAAATCTAATGTGCTGAAGGAAAAAAGCAGTAAACCTGAGAAATATGTAAATCTGGAGGGCATGAGCAGAGTAGTTGCTATATTTAAGTACACAATTTTCTGAGTAGATTGTCACAAATGCTTGCATGTAAGAGGAAATCAAGGCTCAAGTGGCATTTAAAATATTTACATTATTCTTTTTCCAAACTTGATCAAACTATTTTCAAAAGAGGAAGGCTACAGTATTTCTAACTGGGAGAATGAAAATAAAAATTGGATCATTAATTCCATTTAAAGCACTAGTCTGGATGAACCTGGGAGAAAAAAGTATTTTTCAGGCCATGAATTAAAAAGCCACTTTTCTAAGTCCTACTTCAGGTTACTCACCAGTTATGTGATTGGTCGCACCATCTTGTAATGATCATGTCATATTTGCTCTTCTATGGGGTCTTGTATCAACCTATCCTTTCCTCAATGAGGACATGGACAGTAAAACAAAATAAGTATGTTTAATAATTCATATGAATCAATCCTCTTTTGTGCTGTGGATGACTTCAGTTGGCACATCTAAGAACATGTGACTTAACCTTATTGGTTCCATTTTACTGAGGGAATCATGTTTTGAATTTACTCCAACATTCATGGACTCACAGCATTGTTATTCAAAGTAAGTCCCACGGAACACTAGTTTTGAAAGTACTAAATGGGGAAAAAAGTCACATGAAATTTGCAAATAGGGAACTAAATTTTTTATTTTCTTTGTAAGACTTCTGCAAGTTGTTATGCACATTAAGTTAAGTGTGCGTATGTGTGTGTGTGTGAATTATGGGGTAGGGGAGCAGGGGGAACTAAAATAAAGGGGGGATTCTCAAACTTATTTCACCATGGAACCTTCTCTTCCCCTCCATGGGAAACTGTTTTCTTTGATCCCAGAGCTGAGGTCTTAAAATACATGACTGTCTTGACTTAATGTGCAGACAATTTATATTTTCCACATCCTTCCTGGGCCTTCCCAGACCCCACCTCTTCACCCCGTTCTCACATTTCTTCCTTCTCTTAGTATGATTTCATGGACCACTGGAGATCTTATTTTCATTCTATTATTCTAGGGCAGCAAGGCAGGCACTCACAAAAGAGGGTAAAAAAGAAAGGTCCATTTTTTATGAACAACAAAAGAAAAACCTTAGCAGCTAATTATGCAAATCTTCCATTGCACATTCGATAATACTATTTCAATACCAAACACTGCAAAACAGGCCACATCTAGGGCCCTAACCATCAGGAAAAGGAGCGGTGAAGTAATTAAAGCAAGACAGGAGTCATGATTCAAAGGTCATATTCAAAGTTCCATTAAAACTTAAATAATCCTGCCCAAGAAAAGTCAGCCTCCTGCGCTTCAGTGCAGCTATTTAAAAGAAAATAAAAAAGCAGGATTAATATTACTGAAATGAGCATGATAAGCCATCCACATATTTTCTACCTGAGAACCAAATGTAGCAGTAAATTTATTCAGGGCCTGCACTTTCATGACAGAGGGGAGGAAGGAAGGAAGAAAACTCTAACAAACAAAAGCATATTCCCCAAGATTTCCTAGTTAATTGGAGCAGCAAGGTAGGCAGAGCTGTGGTGAAGGCCATCTAAAAATGACCAAAGTGTGAATTATATATGCAGTGCCATGGAATAACACAAATTTCACAAATCAAGAGCTGCCCCAAGGTTCCCAAACTTCTTCACCAGAACTGTCTTATTAAAATGTTTAAGTCACTCACTCAAAGTCCAAGCCTCTTGAATCAGAATACCCAGAGTAGGTCTCCAGAATCTGTATTTTCAAAACTCCCAAGTGATTCAGCTTATCATAAGCATTTGGAAATGATCAGAGTAGAATAACTTGGAATTAGATTTTTGTGTGTGTGAATAAAGTGAGAGAGTTTATTGAGATAGAAAAATAGCAAAGACTAGAGACCTCAGAATAGGGAGGGACCCCAAGAGAGGATTGCCTGGTATTAGATTTCTTGATATTCTTATATAAATAAATAAATGCTTTTAGTGAACTCAAAAACATATATCACTTAAATTGTCTGAAATCATATTTATAATGCTAAATGTTTTACTAGTCCCTGTTTTCATGAATAATACAAAGCACACTTCTCACAGATCCTGTCAGGTTTTTATCTTATAAATTAAAAGACAACGCAATGACTACTTGATATTTCTATCTTTCTATGGCTATAGCATTTTGTACCCAAGTAGGATATTATTTAATTTTTTTCATAAGAATCAGAGAAACAGATGTATATTCTGTCTTACTTATACCATTTTATCTTTAGGTTAATGACAGAAGCCATAAATTGAAAAGGGTGTTCAAGATAATGTGGAACAGCTTCCGTTTTAATATTCTGACCCGTTATGTCAAAACACACTCATATTGGACTATATGTATTAGAAGTTTAGATTAAGAGCAAATGGTCATTCTACTTACATGTTTCTAAAAAACAGTGTTTATAATAGTATCATCAAAACATCAAAAAGTCTCCAACTTAGAAGACAGGAGAACTATGAAGCAAGTTTGATTTTTTTTCTTTTGTTTTATTTTAATTCAGAAAATGCTAGATAACTTTGGTAGAAGAGTTGGACCATTAGAATTTCTGATCAATAGATTTCAGATTGGCTTTTATTTTATTTTTAATTTCTGTCATGGCCTTCATATTCTGAGTCCTAAATAAGCATAACAAGAAAAAACCCAATTTGAAAAAACCAAGACTTTTATTTTCTTTAAGAAAGGAGCGCTACTGAATGACAAACTGTTGTCCTGGATTCCTTTTAATCTGTGGTTTGCCTTTATCCTCTGAATCCCTTCTGTCTCTGTTTCCTGATATTAGTTTATTTTCACTGTTGTGACAAAACATGTCCAGTCTTGACTGTGCCATTGTGAGAAAAGCCCCTTTAAAAGTATCAGTATCCATTTGGACTCGGCAGCAATGTAATGTAGCCATCCTCCCAGATACTCTCAGCAAAGAGGAACGTTCGGCCCCCTCATTACCATAATCAGGGCCATTGTATTCTGGAGACAGCTGCAGGCACCTGCAGCACTTTCACTCTACTGAAATCCTGCCCACATCACTTTGATAGGTATATATGATGGCCAGTCCTAATTGACCACGTTTGGACCTGTTCTGGATCATGAATAAAAGCCAAAATCTCACTTGGTGAGAAAAATCTTATGCCTTTTTTACTCCCCTATTGCAACATTGAAAATTCCCATTTTCATATTAAAACTCCATAAAACTACTTTACTTTAAAAATAATCTCTTTTGGAATCTCATTTAACCTAATGAATGATTCCTGTATCTACAGAGTTCTCAAAGGACAGTTCTGTTTCCTGCTCTCTGCAAGGAGAAAATGAATGTCTTATTACATTCCTAATAACTACAGATCATGAAGGGAAAACCATCCTTCACAACATCAGTGAAAAAGGTAGGTGACTTGCCTTTTGTTGCCAGGGGCAAGTGATTCTACCTGGGAGAAAACAAAATCACTTTAGGTAGCTTGCCAGGAGCAACAATTCCAAATTCTATTGGAGTACCTCTACTTTCCCAAGGAGGTAGATTGAAAGCTACTTGTTAAAGGGTTTGCTGTGTTCCAATATCTGTTATTAAGACCCGATAACACCATGACATGTATTTGTTCCAGTCATCTTACTGAAAGCTGGCTGCTGAATTGTAGCCAAAGCAAATGAAACCTAAGCAAAAGGCAAATCATTCGAAAAGCTAACAGAAAGTAGTGCAGTGGACTTTTAAAATGAGATCAAATCAGCCAACTTTGGCTCAAATACTGTTCCATTATTTCATAGTTGCTCAACATTCTGGAAAATACCTGACTCTCTGAGCCTCTGTTTCCTCATCTGCAAAATGGGGAAAATAGTGGTACTTTCTTCTAAGAGTTGACCCAATGGTTTAATGAAAGAACGAATGTAAAATGTATGGGGATACCTAACTTGAGCAACCGGTCATTGAATGATAACACTGAGTCAGAAGACATGAAGTGCAGGCGAGGAAGGATGTGATTTATAAATGATGTCTTTAGATTTTCATCCACTTAAATACATGGACTCAGCTTAGGACTTGGCAATTGTCCAATAAAAATTTCCTATTCAACAAAGGGAAGAGGAAGGTTTATATTAGGTAAAGAAGGAAGTAATTGAGAAGGTGCTTTGGTTAAGAAGTTTTCAAAGTTTTCACCTAGAAGCTTGTTAAAAATGCCTGTATCCTGAGTCAGCAGGCCTGGTATATGTGGCCCAAAATTCTGCATTTTAATAACCTGACCCTGACACAGATGGTCCTGAGCTCTTTCTTTGAATGACTGTCCTAATGACCCTGACTACGTTCTCAGATACTCATTTTCTGTCCTTTAATTAGTGGTGTGTCTGTCACTAAAGCTTTCCTGCAGAAGTGACAGCTGAATTAAATCTCATCCCATCATAGCAAGTTGCAATTTCCTTCTGTCTCCAACAGCTCAGAGCATCAGTTTGGTCAGACAACATCAGCAAGCACAGGCATATAAGGCAGAGTTGTTTTTTGTGTATGCTTGCTTTTCAAAATGCTGATAAAATAATAAGCCCTGAATTTGAAACCAAAGCTATCAAATGGACACCATTTAAGAACATAAAAACTCAAATAATACCAATGTAACCAAAAAGTCCATTCAAAACATCATCACCAAGTCAAGAAAACATGATCAGAAAAGCATCACATGTCATGCTGAGGGCAAAGCAGAACCAGAGGTTGGCATAGAAAATACAAGCATGACAGTGAATGTGGTTTTGAAACTCAGGTGGACAGAGGGCTCATGGAGACTTGCTCTTGAAAAATATCATGTAAATTGACTTCTTTGCAAGGCATATACAGAATGCATCTTGCAGCCATTGGTTAAAGAAACTAAGGGAAATCATGCTGTACAAGAACACAAAACCCCCTGCTCTTCATTAAATGTTTTATATCATCCTGCCACTCTGCTTGTGACTGTGGTAGCAGACTTAGCAAGTTATCTTGAAATCAAAGCCATCCCTTAAAATATTGATTCTATTGGAAAAACATATTCCAAATGACAAAAATAAATTTCCAGAATAGGCTCTGTTTTTGATGCAGATGCTTTGTATCTAGCTGCTTTGCCTTTTTTTTTTTTCTGTGAAACATGCCTTCAGCTGATAAATGCTTCCTCATTACTGAACTGTCATTTATTCTTTTATTCTTGCACACAATATGAGTGGCACATCAACATGCCATCCTTCAGAGCACGCACAGATACCCTGATGCCTTTTTATTACAGCTCTTTATTTATCCCTATGCGTTTGTAGTAGGGAAAAAGGAAGGAAAAAAATTACCTCTCTGAGGTTTCAAGGGAGTCATCTGACAGTTCCAAGGATGCCTCTTCCTCTGCAAATGTCCAAGTTCCTGGCCAGGCCTGGTGCTCCCAGAAGCCCTGAGAGCAGAGCCCACTCCCAGAAGTCAGTGTCCCCTGGGACTCTCAGCGTCAGCCAGTTGGAAGCTTGGATAGATAAGAGGCAAAATGAGAAATGAGGATGGGGCAAGGGAGGTTAATGATTCCCAGAGTCCTCCTAGGAAATTAAAAAAAAAAGAGCCAGTGAACAGTGATCACCAGGTGCTTGTGACACAGGCAGAGCTTTGTTTATCTTCCCTCTTACAAATGGGGGATCCAGGCAGGCATCAAGGAATGATAGTTGAGGAGCCTTCTTGCTAGAACATACCCACCATCACAGATGTCACACCTGTAGGTTCCAGCTTGGAGGGTCCAGGACTTCGAGTCTGGAGAAAGAAAGGGAATAAAAACACATCAACTGTAACAATAGCATTTCTGCTAATAAAATAATAGCATCCTTTTTTAGGGAGCCCTTACCAGTGCCACATGCCAGGTGCTATTCCTATGTTTTACATATTCACTTAATATCCTCAACAACTGTATAAAGCAGGTACTACCATTACCTTTGTTACACAGATAAGGAAACTGAGGCATAGCGACATAAGTAGTTTGTTAGGTCTTGCAATAGTTAAGCACAGGGGTGGTGGAAGAAATCCAGCAGTCTGGCTTGGAGCCCAGGCTCTTAGCCAATGTGTGACACTGCCTCCCACTGGTTGTACAATCATAACGAACTTCTGAATGGCAAAAGACATTGGATCAGCATTGCCCAACAGAACTGTTACATGAACCATATTTATTTTCTAGTAATCACATTAAAAAGTAAAAGAGACGCATGAGCTAATGCTTTTTACAATTATATCCAAAATGTTATCATTTCAACATGCAATCGATATAAAAATTAGTAATGAGATATTTTACATTTTTCATTCTTAGTATTTAAAATTGATGTTTATTTTACACTTATGGCACAACCTAATTTGGAAAAGTCACCTTTGAAGTGCTCAGTCACCACAGATGGTAGAGCTACCAGACTGGACAAAGCCACAGAATTAGGTATTAAGAATCTTAGGTGTAGCATTGACCTGAACTCAATATGCAATATTACACATAGAAGATGGCAGAGGGTCATCCTCTTCTCCCACCAAGAAATAAACCTTCAGTCTGAGTATCAAAAGAACTATCACAGAGAGTATGAAAAGAAAATATCTCTATTGTGTGACACTTGAGCCAAAATCTTTTCTTGAGAAATGTACAATGCCCAATGAGCTTAAGTTCTTAAAACGATCATTTCTGCCAAGCCATACCTATTCCTCCTTTATTCCTCCTGGAGAGCCCTCACTTTCTGGCAGGTCTTAGCAAGCTTCCTCTTGCTTTGAGCAGAAACATTCTCCAGCCCAGCCCAGATATTTCTTACCAAAGATTTAGCCAGTAGAGAGCTTATTCTCATGGGCACAGGCCTGCTGCTTCCCGTGTGGTGGTGCTAACCTCTTCAAAGTTGACATGCTTCCTTTGCTACGCTAGAACAGTCTTTAGACCTTTGTAATGTAGTTCCTATGTCATTAGCAATTTTATTTATTTCTGCATAATCTCTTTCCATGGCTTTTCCACCAGAGAACAAAAGTGTGTGAAGCCAGGCATCATGCTGTTAGAGGATCAGACCCAGACTGGCCATAGATGAAATCTGAAAAGTAAATATGACCAGTTCTTTTTTTATATAACTCTCCTTATTCAATATCTAATAGCAATAAGAGCTAGGATAAATTAAGCATGATTCATTCCTTCTCCCGATACTGTGGATTTTGCCTCACTTCTTGCAGAGGGATGCAGATATTTAATGATCATTTTTATGTGGGGTGGTTTTTTTCCCATGAAAGCAAAAGGAGAACTTAATTATAATGTTTCATTAAGAGATGTATCATCTCCTAGGCATATTGCAAGGATTATTAGTCATTCTGCTGTCAATGAAGGAAAGTACTGTATAATTGCAAAATTATACTAATACTATCAATAGAGTCAAAATAACATTTCAGATTCATAGAATCTTCAAGTTGAGAGGACCATGCAGAACATGTAATTTCCAGAACTTTCCTAAAGATACGAATCACTTGGAATACCTTTAGTAATAAAGAATTTGTGGCATCATCCACAGCCCAACGAATCAGAATCTTGGGGAAGGAGTCTAAGAGGCCGAGAGTCTAAGAGGTTTAGTAAGCATGAGTACCTCCACTATTGCTGTCATCTGGAAAGTTGAGGGAGCACTGAGCTTTGTTTTGCAGATGAAGCCAAAGGATGTGGTAGAATCCACACGACTACTGGGAATGAACTCAACCCTCCATACATACTCTAGTTCAGGAAATCAGAGCACTGCATTAAGGTTCAACAAAATGAAACAAAAAGCCATGGCTGTCTTTGACTGGAAAAAAAGGAAAGCAACAGCAAGCAGCAATCTTTCAAATGGATATGTTTTATATAATTTTTAATATAACCTGCTAGACTGCTCATGATTCAAGAAGATCCGTGAAAAAGAGGTTTCATGCAATACATACACACATTCCATTTCTACATTGTCATGTGCTCAGAAGAGACCATCTTCAATGATTAAACTATGGTCTTTTTCATGGTTCTTCAAATATTCCATGTGCATTAACTGTCATTAATTTTGGATTCTAAATCTTTTCAAGTCAACAATTAACTGTATAATCAGCCTCCATATCTGCAGGTGATGGGTTCCAGGACCACCCCCCACCGCCAGGTAACTAAAATCCGTGGATGTTGAAGGCCCTTTTATTTGCATATAATCTACACGTATCTCTCCATAAATTTTAGGTCATCTCTAGATTATTTATAATACTTAATACACTGTAAATGCTATCTAAATATTTGTTGTACTTATTATTTACAGAATTATGACAGGGGGAACTGCACATGTTCTGAACAGACACATTTTTTTTCCCAATATTTTCAATCCACAGTTGGTTGAATCTGAGCCTGCACGATCGAAGGATATGAAGAGCTGACTGTATATTCATTTGCTTTGAATGATTAAACTCTTCCTTTATCTTTTGTTCTAACTTGAAGAAATAGAGGTCTATCCTTCAACAAGTTAACTCATTTTTAAAAGTTTCCACAAGACAAGAAGATGTCTATATTTATCTTCTACTGCAGAAAACATGTGACTGGAAAACCCAACAAGAATTCTTTCCATGGACTAGGGATATAACTGAGTGGGAGAGCACTTGCTTAGTACATGCAAGGCATGTGATGCCATGCACCAGCACTGGGGAAAAAACAGTCTTTCCATACCAAAGCATTAATTGTACCAGCCTCTTAACATAATTTCATCTGTTTCCACAGACTGTCCTAAACCTCCAAACATCCCCATGATCATGTTGGGGGTTTCACTGGCTATTCTCCTCATTGGGGTCGTCCTGCTGTGCATTTGGAAGCTGTTGGTATCATTTCATGATCGTAAAGAAGTTGCCAAATTTGAAGCAGAACGATCAAAGGCCAAGTGGCAAACGGTATGTGTACACAGGACTATTCCTTGTCTAGTGGTCAGAGACCTGAAGGAAATGATGAGGGGGCGGGGAGACTCAAATTTCTTCTGTTGAAGAAAGTTTGGATGTCATGTCCTTTCTCCCAATTCTCATCATGATCCCAACAGCTTTGATTTCTGCTCTGCTTTGGAGGCAGAGGAACCTCTGTCCATTATCTGGGCCTCATGCCATACATTTGCCTCTCAGTGCAATGGAGAATTCCACCATTCTGAAGAGTCTCATGAAACTCTTGACTGCATGACTTAGGGACATCATGGAGGCATTTTTAATTTTGTACCTCCTCGCCGCCAGGAGGCTCGCTTAGGCCCCATTTGATAAGCTTAGTGGCTGAACCTAAACATTTCCACAGATTGGTCATGTTACAGCTAATGAAATGGTGCTTGTGAATACTATAAATGATCATGCCAATTTCTACAAAAATACTTGTTATCAATATAACAGGTGACAAAGCAAAGTTGAGAAGACTTCTTAAATGCTAGGCAGTTTTTCTGATAAATTTTAAACATAAATTTTAAGCAGCTATGTGAAAAAATAAATATATGTACTCAATAGATACAATTTAAGTGTCTTCTCTTCACAGTAGGCAAACGGAAAACAGGACTACAATTTTCTGAGTTTCTTTTCCACAGGAGAGATAATTAAATTTCTAGAGACCCCTGGAAACAATTTCATGGTTTTAATTTCATCTCTCGATCTCTAATGGTCTAGCTATCTAATAGCAATTATCTTACATTGCTGATTCTAAAAACAGTGATATCACTGGAGAAAACACAGGCAAACACCATCCTCCTTTGGGTTCATCTGCCCAAATAAATTGATGTTAACACTGTTTTCTCTAAGCCTATAGCAATATCTTCAAGTCTGAAAGCAAATAGAATTTTCCATTTTGGATAATTTTATCTTGATAAGGGATGTTTATATTTTAGACAGTTATTTCAAACTAATCATAATATATGGTCCAGGACAGAGGACAATAAACATTCTTATCTACTTTATCTTCCCATTAAAATGAGTTAGATACAACAGCCAAATGTAAAATGTGGATCTTGTTTGGATCCTGATTCGAGCAGTCCAACTATAAAAATAAATTTTAAAAACAACTAGAAAAAGATTAATATGCACTGGATATTAGAATGATAGCAAGGAAGCACATTTAATTTGATTGGATATGATAAAGGCATCATGACTTTGCTAGAAAATAGCCACATATTTTTAGAAATGCAAACTGAAGTATATGGAGAGTACAAAGAAATGGATACTGGGGTTGCCTTGAAATAATTCAGCAAGAAAGAGAGTGGGAGGAAGGGATAGAGAAGGCAGGTATGGCAGCATCATGGTAAGTGTGGAGTCTGGGATGGGTCTATGGAGGTGTATTAGATAACTGTCCTCTTTTTGTGTATGTATGGATTTTTCAAAATGAAACAAAATTCTTCAGGGAAGTAAATTGTGGGTTTGCAGTGAAAATATAATCAATATATCCCTAACAATGTAAAATGGAATCTGATTGCTCAGTGTCTTAGAACATAGTGCTAATGAAGCCAAAATTGTGACACAGCTAATGTCACCTGATACCAATGGCCACAGATGTTAGTTTTAATTTCACCAACTGTCAAGCAAATGCCTGGCAATATCAGAGGGGAACCAGGCTAAGGAATGTGGTAAAGATGGTACAAAGAACACTAGCAGCAAAGTAGTGGGACAACCACCAGCTCTGTCATGTAGGCTTGGTATCCCATTTTGAAGGTAGGTAAACAGAGGCTGAGAAAGGTGAAGGGACTTCCCACACTCTTGGTGCAGGCGGAGTTGTACACTACTTGCTAAGTGTTCTTCCAAGCATAGCCTTTGGTTGACTCTCTTAGAAATAATAAGCAGGTGTTCCAAAAACAAGCACTTGGGCAATTATGTGGTGCGTGTCTACTAACCAGAATATTTTAATGTTCTCATACAAAGGCATGAGGGGAAAAACTTATTAATATCTTTAAAATAACATTTTAATTAACAGTTAATGTCCCCCAAAACATGAATTGTTCTCCCTCAGGATGTAGAACGTGACTGAAATTCAAATACCAAATTTTTTGCAGTTTCTTCATCTAAAATGTGACAAAAACATGCATTAAACAGATAAAAGCATAAATGAAAAATATTATTCCCTTGTTAAATTGAGTTTCTTTGAATAACAAATGTTTGATGTTCCTGACTAGATAATGACTAAGTAATAATTATTCATTTGGATGCAAAAGAGGTTTAATTCAAATAACTCAGTTCAGATTTCACTCATGTATACTCCTGGAAAAAAAAAAGTGTTGCTCAGTGCATATATTTAAAGTTCTTCGATTGAATTCAGTTTTTTATTTAAAACCTATTGCTTCTCAAGAAGTGAATTGATATTTAAAAGTCAGGGACAGTAAAGTCTCCTGACCCTTGGGCCCCACTGGATGCTTAAGGGGACAGAGTTTAGGATAGAAAGACCTTCGCTCTCGCCTCCTGGAATATTTCATCATAGCTGTAAAGAAAGGTTACCTTTTATTACACTTTAAAAAAAAAAACCCTCTGCATATTCCTTCTGAAAACACAAACGGAAGATATTTAAATTCATATTTGATTAAATATTTTTTCTAGGATGACAAGTCATTAACTTGAGGCAAAAAAAAATGTTCAGCCTGACATTTCTTGCAGTCATGGATTGATTTTGTACTGTGCTAAGCAGATCGGGTCTGCGTTTGGCAGTTAGGCGATCATTAAGGAAGCTGCGGGTTGTGACAGAGAGTTTTCTTATTACCACTTTTTACAAGCTTGAAGAAATGTGCCTTTACATTTACAGAATCCATAGCCTAAATTATTACCCCAATATTCCAGGGAAAATCAGCCTGGTCACTCCAGTTAGACAAGGGAAAACTGGCTTTGTCTAAATAGTCAAGTGGAGATGCAACAAAGCCAGTTTTCTGTCCTGCAACAGAAGTGGATCAGGACCCAAGATTGCATTTCAGCTGGAGAGCCTACAAAGAGAGGTTGCAACCTGCAAGTACTAATGGAGGCATATTGGATATTTCCACACTCCCTCCTGCCCATAAAACCCAATTTGAGCATGTTCTTCTGATCTCCAACCATCAACTGAGGTCAGGAGCCTCCCAACTACATACACCCCATCAGCATTATAGACTTCATCTTCCTCCACTTGACACTTCTCCTTACCCTCCTACTAGGGTGCAGTTATCCATTGCCCCTCTATGCAAGGAACCCCCAAATATTACAAACCTGAATAAAGGAAGTTGCTTTAAAATATGGAATGAAAGCTGCACAATCAAAATTAAACATTCAACTAAATAGGTACAAATACATTGTGTTATTCTGTAGCTTCCAACTCTAGCCACCCCCTTTATAGTGCATACAAGTTCTATTTGGTGTGAGATGTGGATGCATTTTCATATGATTAGCATGATATGGGGTGGGGCCTACAAAGATCTAAGCTGGTCCTATTCACAGCCAGTTTATTCACCATCAACCCCAGCCTGTACTTCTCATGCTTTCCATCTTGCCTCTTCAATTGACACCCTCATTCTTCTGTAGCCAAGTAGTTTCTACTCTCTAAATCTTTGTGGAATTTCATACACGATTTTTGTTTGCAAATAAGACTTTAAGGCCACATCAGTTTATCAGTCACCCTCAAAAATCCCAAATTCTTTTGGTGGCAGGGCTCAATAGGGGCTAGAGATCCCTCAGAATTATCCAAGCTAATCCTGGATATTGAGGAGAAGCAATATGGCAAGCTGGCTTTCACCCGTCATCCACCTCCAGTGAAGGCATATCTTTCCTGCTTGCCCTCAATACAGAGATTACATCTCTCTCCAAGGGCACATGAATAAAGCCAACATGGTACTCTGTCAGAGGTCAGGCCACTGACTGTGAACAACACTGACGCAGGTGCAGGTGTGATTCCTACTTACAGAAGAGGCACTGCAGAGAATCCAAGGACAACGGGTGGAAGAAGCCAGAGAATGTTTTGTTTTACACAATTCTTCTGAGTGTTGAAAGAAATACGGTCATGTTGATCGTAAATACAATGATTTTTTTTTCAAGTTTATGCCTATGAATTGCTACCATCTCTACAACTCATGGGATGGGAGATCAAAGCATAAAATTTAGTAACTCAGAGGAGGTGCCTAGACTCTACACATATTCAGAAATGGACCTGGAAATATCTTTACAGCCTTCTTCAGTACTTAAAGGAAAAGAAAATTCCAAATGTGAGGTAAAGTTTTAAATAAGAATTAAGAAGAAGGACTGGGCATGGTAGGCCATGCTTGTAATCCCAGGTAGGTGGGAGGTAAAGGTAGGAGGATCTCTGTCCAAGGCTGGCTCCAGGCAAAAAGCACCAGACCATATCTGAAAAATAACTAGAGCAAAAAGGGAGGGTGGCTCAAGTGGTAGAGCACCTGCCTAGCAAGCACAAGGCCCTGAGTTCAAATTCCAGTACCAAGTATAAGAAATAATTAATAAGAAGAGGTAGCATTCATTGAACACTTACTATGCACATAAGCATAGTGCTACAGTACTCCATGGACAAAGTAAAGAGTTTGTTAATCCCTGTTTAATAAATGAGGAAACCGAGGTTCCCAGTGCTGATTAAGCCTGTGTGGTGGAGCAGGATTTGAACTCAGGATGCCTGATTGCAAAGCTTATGTGGTGAACCTTGGAAAATGGGGGAGAAGAAACTGCACCTCACCCAGACCCCTTGTCCTGCAGAGAAGTATGTCCCAGGCTTTTTCCACTAGTCCTTCTCACCTGAGCCGCACTACAGTCAGCATCAGAAATACATCTTCAGCAAAACAGCACAGGTGAGCCTCCAGGCATTGGCACACAACCTCCCATGACCCCAAGGACAAAGCCATTTTGCTTGGACTGCCACAGGCCTTCCACTCTTCCAGGAACCCAGGGTCCCACACACCAGCCCCTTGCAGTTCTCTGCCATACACACTATTGAGCTAGTAAGCAACAGCAAGCTAGCTGGCTCGTTTGCCATCCAGAGCGAGTGCTAGCTGCCCAGGGGCTCCTTCTGCTCCTTCCAGACAGCTAGTTGCCGCATCTCTCTTCTAAGTTTTGGTCTCATTTTATTTGTGCCCTCACCTGATGTCTCTCACCACCAGCAGCATATTTCTTAAAGGACACTGTGCCATTCATATTTGTATGTTTCCACAAGTTTCACTTTTCCCATTTTTTAACCTTATGCCTCACTTTTGGTTTACCTATCAGTATTCATTTTACTCATTCTACACATACCAAGGACATACTGTGAACTGGATTCTCGGTGCAGGGTAAGCAGTGACCATGGCAGCCAGAGTCTTGTTTTTCTATCCACAAATTAGCGCATTTCAAAAAAGGGTAGGATCTTTAGAACACACAAGTGGGACCGGCTTTCCATATTAAAAAGTAAAACAAAGATGTATATGTTTTAAAATGCTAACAATGAAAATTGGAATACCAATGGTTTCCAAGCTAAGATTGCACTTGACGCTCCTCTTCTAATTTGAACTGTAATGAAAATATTTAGAGGTATTAAAATGATATAACAACAAATGTACATGCTTTCACTTGAACCTATTTTTTTTTTTCAGGGAACCAATCCACTATACAGAGGCTCCACTAGTACTTTTAAAAATGTGACCTATAAGCACCGGGAAAAACAAAAGGCAGACTTTTCTACAGATGGGTAGAACCACTTCATGCATGGAACAAGGCTGTTTCACTGACATGAAAGGTTAATGCACTATTTGATTTTTCTTTCTTTGTTGCTTCAAAGAGATTGGTTTAAGATAATAATAGGTCATTTGGAGCTCATTCTCTGCATGAAGGTGAGACACTGTTGGCAAGTTCAAAATGAGCAAGAAGAGGAATATCCTCAGCAAAGAGGTGACTTTGGGGATCACTTGAGGAATACTAACTCTGCTGCACTAATGCCTCAAAAATCATCAAAATGATTCATGGGGACTCATTTGCATTTGAAAAATGTTTGAAATTAGAATGTCATTTGTTTCCGAAATACATCTACCTAAAGTCTTTGTCTCAGCAAAGTCACGAAGCCCATATGCTCGCATCGTATACCCACACTTGACAGGTATTCTAAGCATGTAGTAAATCTGCCCTCTCCTAAAGGAGGACTTTTTTAAGTCCATGAGAAATGAGCTCCTGGTTTTACTTCAGCTGAAAGGATGCAACTCTTCCAAAGATACCCCAAATGTGAGACTGAAAATTAAGTGATAATAACTTCTGTGAATTTGTATGCACCTTAAAGTCAGGTACGCAAACAAGCGCTTTGTTTTATAGATGAGGAGGAAGTAATTTATAAATTAAGTCTCTAGGATAAATGAAAATAACAAATAACAATGATATCATTTAGCTTATTTGTAAATTACCTGAAAAATAACATAAGCTCAGTTTCTTTCTTGTCGCTGGGTTTTCAACCTGTTCTTCTGTATTTCTCAATCATTTTACTCAATTTTGCAGTCTTCTAAGCCCTGTAATTATTATTTGAAAGTGTCTATTTCTTTTTTTAAAATTACTTTAAGTGGTTAGCATATTCAAAGAGAGTTCCAATATCATGAAAGGAACATTGGGTGAACATTTTTAATGTTTAAATAGCTTTAAGTTAAGCATTTTGATTGTACATAAGGCTCTCACAGAGTACAGGCTTTTTAATCCATGTTCTTGTCCCATCTGCACAACTCAGTGTGCACTTTTCAATTGTGTGTGGTAGTTATGCATCATGCATTTACTTTAGGAAGTTAAGATTTTACTTGCAAAATACATATGTACAGTGCCAGGCAAGGTGGTGCACACCTGTAATCCCAGCACTTGGGAGACAGAGACAGAAGAATGGTAAATTAGAGCCCAGCCTGGGCTACATGATGAAACCTGTCTCAAACACAACAACAAAAATGTGTGTGGACAATTAGAGATCCGCCAGTAGATTGAAGAGATGGACTCTAGGATATTTTTCTTATGGTCCCTGATGCATCACAAAGCACTTTCACCTTATCTGATCCTCATAAGGAAATGAAGGCTCAGAGAGTGAGTAGAACTGGGTTCAGAATCTATGCTATCTAACTCTGAGCCATTTCGCCTTTCCAGTGCACAGGACTGTCTCTTTTGTCAGTAAAATAATAAAAGATCACGTTAGTTAAGTGAAAGATATCACTTATTTGGAAGTGTGCTAAACTAAATAGATCCCATTTAAACCACTGGGATACAGATGAGTTATAGTGTTTTTGTACAGTGCTTTTTACCTTTGATTGAATTGCAGTGTGAAGCCATTAAAAGTGGAGGCTTCCTGGTTGTCCTTTGAACTGTTTGTGTGATCTCAAAGTTTCTTCAGTCCTACCAGACACATCTCATACATTTGATTACTGGGAGACTTTTTATCTGGTTTCTAAATTATTCAGGTAAATCAGACATTTATGGAGTATCCAGCTAAATGAAAAGAATTAAAAGCAATCTCCTTGGACATCGGAAGGGCTGACGTATCCCAGGTTCCTGACTACCACCCAGAACCCATGGAAAGCATAGAGCAACATGCAGGCACACTACTGATGGCTCAGGGTGGCTGTCACCTTTACATGGCACTGCTTGTGCTATTTTTGTATGATTACCAAAATGGGATTTTAAAGAATAGAGGTTTCCTTTGTGTGTGCATTAGGGAAGAATCTGCTCTTTCTCTGAGTAATGTTTTGACCCAAGGCAGGACCTTGAAAAGGTCAAACCATTAACAGTAGTACTTCTGTTCACTGAAGAGTTATGTTACATGAAGACAAAAAGGTTGCTTTGTAAGTTGTTTTATTGTATTTTGTGTTGATATAAATAAATATGGTAATTTAAACAATGAGCCTTGGATGGATGATAATTCCTTTTATGTACTCAGTGCAAAACCTTCTTCTTGGATTTCTGGCTCTTTCTGTGACCTGCTCTGACTGCCTTGTAGGTTTTAATCTGTGACCCAGAAGAGCAGAAGGAGGTAGCCACAGAGGCAGAAGGCAGCAGGGAAAGGTCATAATTTGCTGAATGGTGACAAAACTTACATCGAGAGGCCTTTTAAAACAAGCCTAAGCATTACCCTACACTACATAAAATCGAGTTCTTTAGAGTTAGGTTAAACTAAGTTTAGGATTAGTCTAAACTAGGTGTAGGTTAAACTTTTGAGCAGAGACTTATGTAGCAAGGGAGCAAGCAATGGCAAGGGTCCCAAGAAGTCAATTTTGTCATATTTAAGAAGAAGCAAGAAGGAGAGGAGGAATAAATGTCTGTTAAAAACTGAATCAAGCCAGGCACCAGTGGCTCATGCCTGTAATCTTAGCTACTTAGGAGGCTGAGATCAGGAGGATCACAGTTTGAGACCAGCCTGGGCAAAAAGTTCACAAGACCCCCATCTCAACCAATAGCTGTATGCTGTGGTGCACACCTGTCATCCCAAGCTATGTGGGAGGCTGAGATCAGGAAGTTTTCAGTTCCAGGCCAACCCCAGGGAAAAAGCTGTGACATCCCATCTCAATGGAAAGAAGCTGGGTGTGATGGCACATGCCTGTCATCCCAGCTATGGCAGGAAGTGTAAAATAGGAGGATCACAATCCATGCCAGACTGGGCAATAAATAAGACCCTATCTCCAAAATTATCAGAGCAAAAAGGGTTGGAGGCATGGCTCAAGTGGTAGAGCACCCTACCTAGCAAGTGCAAAGCCCTGAGTTCAAACCCCTGCCAGGAAAAAAAAAAAAAAAACTGAGTCAAATGATTTAACTGAGCCATTGAAACCAAACTGCTATTTTTTGGACATGGTATTTCAAGTTTCTGTGAATAAAAACTTTGCATTTCCCAGTACCACTGCTCAGGGATTGCATTCACAGGAGCACAGTTCACATTAATTGTCAGCAGGTTGCACTGATGTTTTTGTCTAAACGTACTTCCCACATACATTGGCCTGATCCCTATTCATTGTTCTTACACTTAAGTAATTGATTATAAAGGTTATGTGACAGCCTCAAAGTCACAGTAGTCACAACCTTTTCTCCTTTCCTTTCCCTCTAGAAAAGAAAGTGATATGGTTTGTTTGGGTTTTGGGGGTTTTTTTGAGAGGGGTTTTAGTTAGGACAACTCTATTATTATAAAACATCTGGGTAATAAAGAAAATAAAAATTTCAAAAGAAGAATGCAAGACTAGGCTGATATGACAATAAAACACTGAGCCAATGAGGAGAGAAAAGAAACAGTTTATGTGGCTGGGTTTGGGGGAGAAGCCTAGAAAATTTGGGAAGAAGAAGGAAAAGTCTGTGGAGTAAAAACCATAAAGGCTTGATATCAAGAATGAAATGCATGGGATGGAAGGTGATTGTCCATGCATTTTAAACATATTTATTCCGTTTTATTAGCATAGTGTTGTACTGGGGGTACATTGTGATATTTACAACAGTGCTTACAATATGTCTTAGTTAAATTCACTCCCTCCATCAAATGACACAGCCATCCTTTTGAGATTGTTTTCCTGACTACGACAGCTTGCAGTGGCCAGCTTCAGGACAAGGGCAGGGAAGCCCAGCTCTGTGGGATTTCAGTTATGAGAGTTCACATTTAGTCTGGCTCAAATTTTCTCAAGACCCTTCAACAGCAGAAACAATTGTGTCCTGAAATACTCTTGTGAAACCCAACAAGCTGCACATATTGGACCCTGAATTCTCCCAAAGTAACCAGAGTACTACGATTTTTCTTTAGTTCCTTTATCTCTCAGTGTTCATTCTTTCTAACACTCCTTGAGGGATGTGGTGCTGGAAAAGCAATTTCACCAATAACATTAAACTATAAGAGAAAGTTGAACTTTAAAGCATACATTCACTCAAATGTTGATGATTCATACAGATTCTGTATCATTCTCATTTTATGAAAATCTAAATGAAAAAAATCCCTAGAAAGAATAAGAAACAGAAAATGAAATGTGATAAGCAGAAATTGTCCCTTTTATTAAATTTCTTTATACTACAACTGACTCAAATCAACACAACTAAAAAGCAAGAATACATGTTTGTGGCTTCACTCTAGCTTCTGTTATAGATCAGTAGAGCTGAGCTGTGGCACCAAATGAGTGACAGATTAGATGAGGTTCCTGCAGCTGAGAAGAGGGGCAGCAGGTGAATAGGCCTACAGCCTGGACCTGAACATTAATTCCTTTGAGCTATAAATTACAGGTGGCCAAATTCTGCCCTCCTGTGCTTTGGAGCATCCAAATGGGAATCTCTTTGGACCAAGCAAAGGGTGGGGAACTTGATCTTCTACTCTTTCCCACTGAGTTGCACAGCCAGCAAGGAGTGAGCAGCATAGCCCAGAAGTTTTCCATCCTATGAACTTTCCTGAAGCTAAGAAGTGGGGGACCCGGCAGTTAGAGGTACAGATTTGACCTACAAATACTCTTTGGTGCCATCAACAACTGCAAGGCCTTACAAATCCCATGGAAGATTTAGTTCAAGTTGAACTTTCAATGTGACCATTGCAATTTCCAGGTATGTGTTTTGTGAAAGAATATGCACGGACAATATATATATTTTTTGGCCTTAAAGTGTATTTACATTTGTGGTTTCCATATAGCCAATCTTGGTCCAAGGCAATAGCTTCAGGTATTCTTATGAAATGCTATTGTGTGTCAATAACTGACTGGATGAAAAGTCATTATGTTTCTTTCTTTCGTCCAGTTGGTTTTACTATACCAAATATAGGTGTGCATGTATGTACATAGATGTTTCCTACCAGCATTAGCTAGCTTGCATGGTTAATAAAAATAGGGAACACCTAACGTTCCAGCTATAGTACTTTTTATATGCTACTCAACTCATTTGAAGTTCACAACCACCCCATAGGATGGCATATCTTCTATTTTACAAATGGGGAAACTGAGGCGTGAAGGTATTAAATTACTTCCTGAGGTCACACATCTAGCAAGCTTTGAAGTGCCCAAGGTAAACAAAGCCTGACACTAAACTGGTGAGGACAGATTTTAATCAGGAATATGCTATTACAGTAAGAAAGAGTCCAACATGAACTGAACACAACTTTGATTTGTACAAAGACAACTGGGCATTTTAAGGGTAGAATGGGAGGATAGAGAGAGCAGCGTGCACGGGGCTCAGTAGAGTCAGGGAAGTGGAAAATGACCCAAGTGAGAAGGGGGATGGTCCATGTGAAACCCACATGAGTTTGTTAACTGGCATATACTGAAGTTAGGCTCCCACCCTCCCACAGAGGCTGAGAGACAGGGACCCTGTCTTGGTGGTATCTGAACAAACAGCTGTCTTGAGAATTCCTAGGAAGACAGTCACTATAAGGGACACTAGAGTCATCCTAGGGATGTGACCTTGAGCTGTTCAAAACTATGTTAGTGTATTGATAACATCTTTGTAGGCCAACAGTGAGGACTAGTCAGAAGGGAGCTTGGAGGAACTTGGCTAGAGTTTGGTCAAAGAGAGGGTCTTTCTTGGAGGCCAGCATTTGAACCCAATCACCTTAGACCTGGAATCCATAGTCTTAACCACTGCCCCATTCTGTCTTATAAATTCCAATTAAAGGCATAATAATCATAAAAATACCACGTATGGATTATCTGTAACCAGCATTATGAAAACATATTATGTGTTTTATCATATATAGCATCTGAGAGGCATATTTTATTTTTCTCTGGTCTTAGAAAACTGAAGCTCAGAAAACTTGAGGGACTTCCTCAGAATTACTGAGTTTATAAATGACAAATGTAGGGTTTGGACCTCAACGTGTCTTTGGGCAAGCTTACCTTTGCTTTACTCCTTCTTCTTATTCAAGGAAGGTGTTGCTATTAATGCTGTATTAGGGTGCTGTAGGATATGTCTTAGGTTGCTCTCTCAGCTATAATAATGGGTTTGCACTGGTTTCTGGACTGAAATCACAAGATTATGATGAAATCTAGCTATGAAAAAAAGGCCCTTTCAGAGCATTAGGTTCTAACCAACCATGTTAAGAAAACTGGGGTAGAGATATAACTTGCTCAGTTCTCATTCTATAGCCCTGCCTGCTACTCTTTAAATTGGATGGGGACCATTGCTATGAATATGTGTGAGGTTTTAGCTCAATATCCTGAGTCCTGGGAGGGTGGGATAGTTTTAGATTGTTGGTTTTTTTGGCAGGGTGGGGGGGTCTTAGCACATCAAGGAATCTGCTCTAAGCAGTAAATACTTCTATATTTACACTGACATTTCCAGAAAGTATACTGTGTTATGCTCAAACAGGTGGAACTGGTTGTCTGATAGGAGAGACTCCCTCTTTCTCATTGAACTCACACACTGCTCTCCTCAGTGCCTCCCTGCCTCCTTTTGGGGACTGGTACCAGACAGAACAAGCATCTACAGAGGGGGCCTATCCTACTTTACATGAGAGAGAATTTGAAGGAAAAGTGGACAACATGCAAAACCAGAATGATCCCCTTTGTGAACTGATGAATTTGAAGAGGGAAAGAAGGGTAGGGATGGGGACAGGGATGATGGTGATTGTAGCAGAAAATGATCACTGTGGCATGAAAAGCTGACCAACACAGGTAATTCTGAAGCTCTTGTCTCTTTACTTTCTTCCTTTTTCCCTCTAAGCAAGCAATTTGTATCTCTAGAACAAAAATTGGCATTGGTCTTCAGAAATTCGAACCTGATTACTGTGTATTAATTTCTTTAAAGAGATCTTAACAAGATACATTATCTCTGAATTCAAGTTGCACCTTTATGAAGTGGCTTACCAAAAAAATCCACACATTTTAATGTTACTGATAAACTCAATCATTATTTCATAATCTTCTCTTTGACTAATAAATATTTTGCT